GTGTTTTAGAAGTGTCGGGCCCCGGGGGGGCGACACCCGTTCGACACTGCTTCGATGCTGTTCTGGGTGCTCGACGTTATTTTTGGGATGTGGTCCTGAAGTACGGTGGGAGCAACACAACGTAAGGGGGGAGGATAGGCTCAGGAGGGGATGCCTCGACCTCCAGTCGCCCGCTGATCGCGCTGATCGCCGACAGGCGCCTGCTGGCCCACCTGCCCAGGAGCGGGCGGACTTGCCAGCGAACGCCCGTCGCCGACCTGTCGTCGACGTGCCGCCGGTTCCAGGTCGACGTTTCCCACCCTGAGCCGGTCCCCCCTCTTGCTCCTCCTCTTCCTCCTCCGCCGCCTCCTCCTCCTCACCCTGCTCCTCCTCCTCCTCCTCCTCCTCCTCCTCCTCCTCCTCCTCCTCCTCCTCCTCCTCCTCCCCCTCCTCCTCGTCCTCCTCTTCCTCCTCCTCCTCCACCGCTTGGCGGCGCTCACAAGGGGGTGGGGGCAGGGGGGAGGGCTTCTTAGAAGCACCCCTGCTTCTTGGAAGGCGCGGGCCTCATCTATAAATGTACGGCAGGCGCCTTCTGAGAAGCAGCCTCCTTCTGAGAAGCCCTCCCCCCTCCCTCCACCCCCTTGGGGGCGCCGCCAACTTACTCCGAGTTTCTTATAAGTGCCGGGGGGGCGTCACCCCCGCCGACAGCCCCACGTCGACCCCCGTCGCGGGTAGCCACCGCGCGCCGAAGGCGCTCCGACCCCCGTCGCTGCGCGACGACGAGGCGAGGTTGACCCCCGTCGGGGAGGTCCTCCCCCACGCTTAGTTCAGAAACCCAGAGTATGGTTCCCCCTCAGGCATGTCCAGGCCGCCGTACCGGGGCTCGAGGCTCGACCATCGAGGATGACGCCAGTGCGGACCGCGGTGGTTCGGCAGAAGCTTGCAGACGGACGGGGCGGACGGACCTGGGCCAGGAGAGTGCCCAAGAGGAGTGGCCAGGGATGTTTTATGCTTCCGGGCCTCCCGAATGGGTGCTCCTCCTCCTCCTCCTGCTCCTCCTCCTTTTCCTTCTCCTCCTCGAGATGGGGTCTGAGGAACGCGCCGCACCGCCGATGTCTCGGCGACACGGTGCGATCCAGATCCCGATTCTCTCCATGCCGACATCGCCGGCGAATCGCCGAGGCCTCGGCGATGCTGCGTGCCACTTCGGCCCACCTTTTCCGGCCTCCTCTGGGCTGCCTCCAGCCCTGGAGCCGTCGGGCGTGTCCCCCTACATGGGGATTTTCGACGAAAAATCAAAAATACACCAAAAATAATCAAAACATAATACAAAGATGGCCTGGGGACCATTTTTGGAATACTTTTTGACCTTTTTGGGGTACTTGTGGGGTATCTTGTATTTTTCGTCGAAAATCCCCCTGTAGGGGGACACGCCCGACATAACTCTAGCCCTGGAGTCCTAGTCTCGAGACGTGCTGCCGACGGAGAGGCACAGATGCCAGCTTCCGGGCAAGGGGCATCCGCGAGGGGTCAGAGGTCGGGCTCCTCATCCTGCGGTCTCCCGTGCTTCCTCGACGCGCGGGCGACGGACGCAGCGCGCTGCCGCGGGCGCCCGACATGGGCACGGAAAGAATGGGTACAATGCCCAACAGCAGTTCCTGTTCATTTTGAACAGGATTCGCTGTCCACGCCGCCGCGGCCTGTGTTAATTTGGAACAGAAGGCCGCCTGCCCAGCAGCGGCCGTTGTTGGTTTGGGACAACAGTTGCTGTTGGGCATTGTGCCCATTCTTTCCGTACCCATTTCGGGCGTCCAAAGTTGCCGCGGGCGCCTGGCAGGGCGCCGGTCAATCTGGAGCTTTCGGGAGCTGCGCGCGGCGCTGCGCACCGAGATGCGCAAAGTCTGCCGTGCTGCCCACAGCCAAGCGCAGTTCACCAAGGAGGAGCGGTGCCTGCCTGGCTCCTGCCACCCCGGGCATGCCCAACCCCGACGGCGGCGCGCGGCCGGTGGCGCCGCCGCCAGAGCGGGCTGCTGCGCGTCCGCAGCCACGCGCTGCCCGGCTCCCAGCAGCTGGAGCCCCATCGGGAGCCTTGAGACGGGGGTCAATGCAAACGGGGGTCAGCCAGAGCGCCCGATCTTGCAGGATCCTGCAGGGCCAGGGCCGCATTGACTTGGGTTTGGGTGCAGGATCTTGCAGGATCCTGCAGGATCCTTCGCGTTGACCAAAGGCGGCGCTCGCGCAGCGTCTTTGGTGGCAGGGCTCGTCGGGCAGCAGCGGCGCCTGCGTTGCCGTCGGCCGCGGCGTTGCCGAGGTGGTCCCGCTCGCTCACGCCCAAACGCGGCGCCTCCACCTACTTTTCGTGCGCAGGCGTAAGTCGGGCTTGTCCCTCTACAGGAGGAATATTCAAACATAGTCAAACAATAGTCTTGGGACTTGTGAGTATGTTTGGGCATCTTTTGACTATTTGTGGATTTTTAAGATAAAAACAAAATATCATTTTTCGTCCAAACTCCCCCTGCTGGGGGACAGGCCCGACCTAAGCGCAGGCACCAAGCGGGCCCGGAGCCGCCCGCTGCCGACGGCGTCCACCAGCTGCTGCCAGGGGTCGGCGTGCTCCCGTTCCCGCACGTCGGCGCTGGCCGTGATCTTGGCGCACGCCCGCACGACATTCTTCGGGAGAGGGAAAAACACACAGACACAATTCATCGTCGATTCCATTGAAAACATGGGATAACATGGGAAGTGGGGGGGAAGACGGAAACCCAGAAAATATGTGGAAATATGGGAAATCCGGTTATTCGTGTGTATTTATTTGTGTGTTTGTGGGCCCCTTCTGGCTGTCCGATGCCAGGTCCTCCTCCTTCTCCTCCTCCTCCTCCTCTTCCTCCTCGTCCCCCTCCCCTTCCTCCTCCTCCTTCTCCTCCTCCATTCCTTCTGAATCTCTTCGCCCCGTCGCACCCCGAGGCCAGTTTTTAGGGCGGGCCGGGCGTCTCGCCTGAGACCATTTATGATTCTGAAGCTTACAAGTTGGCAGCAGTTTCACAGATGTTTGGCGGGTGCTTTTCAAAGTGTGGCTTTCGCTTTAGCGCCGCGCACATTCGTTCTAAAAATTTGCAAGAGCTTCACGGAATGATGATCACCCGTTTTCAAAATGTCGCTCTCGCCTTAGCGTCGCGCACATTCGTTTTACACAAGTGCAAGAGCTTCGCGGATTGAGGACGGTTCCTTTTCACATTGTGGCTCTCGCCTTAGCGCCGCGCACATTCGTTCATTACATTAACAAGCGTTTCACGGATTCTCACGATCAACGTACCATCATTGTTTTTTTTGGAAGGATTCAGGATTTTGCGGGTGCAACAGTTACGTTGCTTCGTGGTGATGAGGTCTTCAGACGGTTGTCTTCCAACGAGGCAGATCCCTCAATGGAAATGAACCGTGGTAGGGGCCGATGAAGAGGTAGCTTGGAGGAAAGGTGTATTCCAAGATCGTTGGTGGCCCTTTGGTTTACACTGGTCCTCCTCCTCCTCCCCCTCCTCCTCCTCCTCCTCCCCCTCCTCCTCCTCCTCCTCCTCCTCCTCCTCATGCTCCTCCTCCAGGACGCGTCGCCGCCTGCGCGGCAGTTACCTCGGCCCGCTGCGCCGTCTGCGGCCCGTCCACGGGCCCCGCGAGGTCTTCGGCGGGCCGGCGCCCGCGCAGCACAGGCCCCGGGCCGCGTGCGCTGGCAGCGGGTCTCAGAGGAGGAAGAGGTACCCCTACCTCTACCCCTCGCCCGTTTCCCCCTTTTTGGGTCTCCTGGGAGGCCCTGGTCGCCACCGCTGGATTCGCCCCAAAATTCTGGCCAGAACGCACCCCAGGAGAGGTCCGGGCAGTAGTGGAATCGGTAATTGCCTTGTGGTCTCCCCAGGGCCGGCGTGGTGGAGACATGCCCCGTCGCTCCACACCGCTCCTGGCGCGCTCCGCGCGCCAGGGTGGGGGCCAGCGCAGATCCAAAAAGTCAGCGCGGAACTAAAAATTACATGTATGGTGTTTTTCTTTTTTTATTCCAGGAGCAACGCGGCCCGGGGCGGGAGCCGCGAGTCCTCCCTCCCTCCTGGCCGCCTCCGCGAGGGCAGTGAGGAGCGGCGGTGTATCGGCAAGACACCGGTCAGCGCGACCCAAGCCGGCAGCAGCTGCCGCAGTGCCCCGGCGTCCCTGGGAGCAGCTCCGTTCGCGGCGCGGCGCGGCGCGGGCCATCCCACGCCGGGCACAATCAGAGGCGATGCCCGAGGTCCGCGGTGGCCAGCCCGCAGCGCGGGCAACTGCCAGCCTGGCCAATCCACTTCGCGGCAATGGTCTCTGTGGACCGTCGCGGCCGCTCTGCTGGGCGCCACGCGTGGGGCGACGCCGACCCAGCGTCCCACGTCGCCGCCCAAATCCAGCTCGCGCAAGCCGCGCAGCGCAGCCGCCACTGGCCCGACGGCGCGCCCAGCTCCAGCGTGGACTGCGTCAGCGGTGCTGCGCCACGAGGCGGGGTCGAGCTGGCCGGCCCGGAGCGACAGTGCAGCCTGCAGCAGCGGCGCGGCGGTGGACAGCCGCCTCGGGGTCCAGGCGCCAAGTGGGGCTGAGCACGCCGAGTGCGCATTGGCGGCAGCCCACTGCCCGTGGCCAGTGGCAGGCTTGGCGGCACGGCGCAGCCGCTCAAGCTCACCCGGGGCATGGCGGCCGTGGCCGCGCGTTTGCGTTCGACGATTGTCTTCCTCGATGTCATGATTAGGGAAACGAAAAGTGACATAAACATAAAAACTCGGAGGTCCGCGCGGATTTCTCGGATCGGCGCTGGGGCCCCCCGGCGGCGCCTCCGGCGCCGCCCCTGGCGCGCTCCGCGCGCCAGGGAGGGGGTCCAGCGCCGATCCGAGAAATGTGCGCGGACCTCAGAGTTTTTTCATGTTAATGCCACTTTTTGTTCCCCTAATGATGCGTGGTTCAGGATGCGGTCCCCGAGATACGACGTGACGAACCGCTTGCAACATGGTTAAACATCACTCAGGAGGGGAAGAAACACACAGACACAATTAATCGTCGATTCCCCCGAAAATATAGGAAAATACGGGCAGTGGGGGGGAAGACAGAAACCTAGAAAATATTGGGAAATATGGGGAATCCTTTTATCTGTGTGTATTTTTTTGTGTGCCCCAGGGCCCCTTCAATCACGGCCACAGCCCCGGGCCCCACCTCTCTGCGCCACCGTTCGAGCAAAACTGAGTTGTGGGGGTGCCGGGGCCCGAGGCCCGGCGAGAGCTCCCGTTTCGAAAAGTATCTGCGACGCCCGGACAGCAAGGTTCCAGGATATATTCAAAAATCGTAGAACAAATCGTCAGGGGAAGATTTTTTGAGTATTTGTTATGACAATTTTTGAGTACGTTTTTTGTTATATATGTATGTGTGTATATATATATATATAGCAACAATAATTATTATCAGTACTGATCTTATTATTATAATTGAGAATTTCTTCCCCCGAAAATCCCCCTCGAGGCGGACAGGCCCGACTCGATGCTTGTGCCGTGTTTTGTTCCGCCGGCAAGGCGCCCATGGCTGCCACGGGGAAAAGGGACCCCTCCTTGGGGTGCATTTCTGGGAGGTAAAGTTAGTCTAGGCCTCCTAGATGGGGTCGGAGTAGATGGGGTCGGAGGATTGCGCCGCATCGCCGATGCATCGCCGATGCGGCTGGATGTGGAGCCCGATTTGCTTCACGTCGACGTCGCCGATTCATCGCTGACGTCGACGATGCATCGCTGGTGCATCGCCGATGCATCGCCGATGCATCGCCGATGCATCGTCGATGTATCGTCGATGCGGCGCCATCCTCCGACCCCATCTACTCGGACCCCATCTAGGAGGCCTCTACAGGAGGAATAGTCAAAATTAGTATTAAGTATTTTTTCCCACCATTCGGTATTATTATGTTCTTTCCAATGTTCCGTCAAACATCCCCCTGCAGGAGGACAGACCCGACTTACAGGCCAAGGTCAGAATCGGCGCTGGTACATCCGCGGTCGAAGGCCAGCTTCATCTCAGCGTGGTCCTGTTTCATTACTACTGTTTCATCTTCCTGGGCCTGGCCTCATCTGGCCCACTGGCCCTCCAATCTGCTTCAGGAGCGCTTAATCTGGCCGCCAAGACCCCAGGCGTCATGCTTTTTCTTCCAGGAAGTGGACCAGCAGAGGTCTGGACCCCTTCCCAGGGATCGGCCTGTCATGCGGCGAAGAACGGAGAACAGTCTTCCGCCGTGATTTGTCCTCGCCCAGGGCTGGACGTAAACGCTGGCTTGCTGGACTGGGCCGTGTCGCCTTTTTTTTTCCGTTGTGGCAGGGAGGTGCAGGAGAAGAGGCAGAGCAAGACGAACAACAAAACGACAACCACAGCAAAAGCAGCGTTGAGGTCCAGCCCCGTGCTCGCCCCAGCCTTCCCGCCGGGCACAGGCGCGTCGGCGTCCGCGGGGGCCAAGTGGGCGGACATCACGGACGAGCCCGACGGCGAGGCCCCGCACGCCCGGCGGGCCGCTCTCGCTCGGCTTCGCGCTCTCGCTCTCGCTCTCTCTCTCTCTCTGTCGCGCTCGGTCTCTCTCTCTCTCTCTCTCTCTCCCTCTCTCCCTCCCTCGCTCCCTCCTTGCCCTCTCTCTCCCTCCTCTGTCGCTCACGCTTGGCCTGTCTCTCTCTCTCTCTCTCTCTCTCTCTCCCTCTCTCTTTCTTTCTCGCTTCCTCTTTTCTCTGTACGCATATGCATCCGTAAACGTAAGTATTCTTAGTGTGTGGGGGTCGCATGTTTTGTTTTGTTTGTTTGTTTTGTTTTTGTGTGTGCGTGCGTTGTGTGCCCTCTGTCTCTGTCTTTCTCTCTTTCCCTCTATTTGTCTCTCTTCTCTGGCTCTCCCTCTCAGTCTCCCCCTTTCCGTTCTCTTCAGGTTCTCTCATCCCCCCGGTTTCTATTTCTTGACGAGTGTTCCGTTGGTTCTCTCGAAATTTCAGCAATCCATGATCGAAGGGGCTGGCGGGAAATTGTAATGGAACATTGTTTAATCACATGTGCTTGAGATTGGCCCACCATTCTCCTCCCCTCCTCTTCGGGAAAAGACAGAGCCAAGATGCCGTGGTGCTGAGACGTGTCTGCTCTTCGGCCAAGGAAGCTTCCCGTTCAGAATATGTTTCCTCTGCTGTGTGAGACCCTTCGGTCACGGACCACCCAACTTTCGGGCCTGTCCCGAAGTGGACTCCCCGCACTTCATGCAGTACACCAGAGGGAGGTCCTCTCTAGCACTCTGCACACACACAGATTGTGGGGAGGGGTGAACTGCGAGTCCCCGAGTTTTCTCAAGGACGGGATCAGTGCTGTGCACACCTCCCAGGGCCGATTTCTCGGTGAAGCACTTCGCGCATCAAACGCATCTCCAGCGGGTCCCGTTCCAGACCAGAGCACACGGTAGGCGCGACTGCTGCTGGTCTGAGGCTCCATGGTTGTCGAAACCGAGCGGTCCAGCTTCCCAACCAGCTCCTGGGCCCTTGGGACATCATAAAGAGTATTAGCTACGCCGAGGGCCACCTCACCCCAGCCGTCCAATCATATCCTATAGTGGTGAATATGTTCCAGCATTCGGGGATGTATTTTTGTGCCGTCCTTGACGTACTCATCTGCCTTGCCATTTCCTTTTTTGCGCCGCAGGGCCTGCCCGACAAATTCTCCCCGGTGGCGTGGTCCGTCAGAAGGCACGAAGGTCGATACCCAGCAGAGAGAAGGAACCGCCAGACTTCAGCTAACGGGCTAGAGTCCGAGGTAGCCTGAGACGGATTTTCAGCACCATTAGCCAACGACTTACAATCGATTTGAATTAAACTAGGGTCCGCATATTCGTCTCCACGGTCGTGCGAGAGGTGCTGCAGGGCTTGCAGGAGGCCGCAGCATTCGGACATCAAAACGGCCGATTGCAGTGGAAAACCTGGCAGGTTGCCGCACGCCGCCTTCTGAGCATTCATTTGACCATCTGCAGCAATCATTGCCCAGTCAACTCGTGACACCAGCTCGTGAGCGCACCCAGAACAAAACCCGTCGGAAGAGAGGTGGTCGCCAACCCCAACCTTGAAAGAGGGAAGGGGCCCATCAGAGCCCGCGTACAGCACAGTCCCATTCAACGGAGGCTCCACAATATTTTGTGAGGCACGGGCTGCCAGAGACTGTCGAAGAGAGGATCGCATTCTCCAGAAGCAAGGTCTGCCTCCGCCCACTTCTAGCGGAACGGATTCTTGCCTCTTCGTTTCGAAGTGCTTGCACTCGAAACTTCTGTGCCACACGCTGGAGAAATGACAGAGGCCCGCACGCGCAGAAAGGACAGAGCGCCGCACCGGCCTCCAGCCCGGCACTTGTAGAACAGGACAGAGAGGATCCACCTGATACTGTCATTTGTGTGAGTGGCTCGAGGTGACGTGGCTACTAGTGAACACCTGCTTGATAATACATGCAATCTTTTGTCACTTTTTCCGTTCCAGATGACCTTAGGGGGATCCGTCCAAATGCCTCTTTTCTGGATCTCCTGAGCTCTGGGATTTTCACTAAGTTCCGAGTCCCCTCTCGTACTGGCAGCCACCATCTCCTCACCTTGGCCCGAGCCGAAGTCAATAGACACCCAGCAAAAAGGGCTAGCTGTGAGCACGCACGGTGCTCCATTCCGTGTGTTGCTGAGCGAGTTGCTGCATAGGTACCCACAGCTGCTGGGCTTACGCTGGGCCAAGATCCGTGCCGAGGAACTTTCTGCTGTTCAAGAGGGCTTGTGTATCCATCCGACCTCCTTCTGCGCCGTACTGATTGATAGCTTCCATCGCCATGCCCTTCCCGGCTGGCATAGGCCTTTGCAGTCCGGGAGGATCAGGATATTTGTCAACTTGCGGCGAGGGGTGCTTCAAGCTCTGCACCGTCTGTTCTAGCTCGGCGGGCGTCTGCCTGGCTGCATGCACATCTGCCACGAGCAACGCACGCTCAATGTCCATGCCCTCTGGGGCCTCGGTCTGTTTGTTGATATAAATCTGCCTGAGCCCAACATTGCTTTTGCTTTGATCAGCTTTGTGAGCACTGTCTGCTGCAACTGCGACCCGCTGTTCTCACTGCCACGCCCCTCGCGCAACTTACCCTAAGACTGTCTCGATCGATGCCATCGCCTCCTCCGTACTCTTCTCAGCCGCTCCCTTCTGCTTAGACTCATTGCTCCTCAGCATGTCGAGGGTGCTCTGCAGCTTCAATATCTGAGGCGACACCTTGGGCACCTGCGACTCCTCATTTTTCCCCAACCATCCTGTGGTGTTGGGTCCTCGTTTTGAAGAGACGGTGCCCCGCGTCTCCTCCTTCCGCTGCGCCCTCCCTCCTCCCTCCTCCCCCTCCTTGCCTCTGCTCTCGGCACACCCCTCACACGTTTCGTAGCCCCATAGGGAGCTCCACCGAAGGCCCCAGTGGCTGCTCTCGCATGCGGTTGCCCCACCCAGGGCAGCGTTTCGTGGCCCCATAGGGAGTTCCACCGATTGCCCCAGTGGCTGCTCTCGAATGCGGTTCCCCCACCCAGGGCAGCCAGTGGCTGCTCTCGCATGCGGTTCCCCCACCCGGACCAGCGTTTCGTGGCCCCATGGGGAGCTCCACCGAAGGCCCCAGTGGCGGCTCTCGCATGCGGTTCCCTTAGGATGCTCCACCGAAGGCCCCAGTGGCTGCTCTCGCATGCGGTTCCCCCACCCAGGGCAGCGTTTCGTGGCCCCAGACGGAGCTCCACCGAAGGCCCCAGTGGCTGCTCTCGCATGCGGTTCCCCCACCCAGGGCAGCGTTTCGTGGCCGCATAGGGAGCTCCACCGAAGGCCCCAGTGGCTGCTCTCGCATGCGGTTCCCCCACCCAGGGCAGCGTTTCGTGGCCCCTATGGGGAGCTCCACCGAAGGCCCTAGTGGCTGCTCTCGCATGCGGTTCCCCCACCCAGGGCAGCGTTTCGTGGCCCCATAGGGAGCTCCACCGAAGGCCCCAGTGGCTGTTCGCATGCGGTTCCCCCACCCAGGGCAGCGTTTCGTGGCCCCATAGGGAGCTCCACCGAAGGCCCCAGTGGCTGCTCTCGCATGCGGTTCCCCCACCCAGGGCAGCGTTTCGTGGCCCCATAGGGAGCTCCACCGAAGGCCCCAGTGGCTGCTCTCGCATGCGGTTCCCCCACCCAGGGCAGCGTTTCGTGGCCCCATAGGGAGCTCCACCGAAGGCCCCAGTGGCTGTTCGCATGCGGTTCCCCCACCCAGGGCAGCGTTTCGTGGCCCCATAGGGAGCTCCACCGAAGGCCCCAGTGGGGCTGTCGCATGCGGTTCCCCCACCCAGGGCAGCGTTTCGTGGCCCCATAGGGAGCTCCACCGAAGGCCCCAGTGGGGGTGTTCGCATGCGGTTCCCCCGCCCAGGGCAGCGTTTCGTGGCCCCATAGGGAGCTCCACCGAAGGCCCCAGTGGGGGTGTTCGCATGCGGTTCCCCCACCCAGGGCAGCGTTTCGTGGCCCCATAGGGAGCTCCACCGAAGGCCCCAGTGCTCTCGCATGCGGTTCCCCCACCCAGGGCAGCGTTTCGTGGCCCCATAGGGAGCTCCACCGAAGGCCCCAGTGGCTGCTCGCGCATGCGGTTCCCCCACCCAGGGCAGCGTTTCGTGGCCCCATAGGGAGCTCCAGCGAAGGCCCCAGTGGCTGCTCTCGCATGCGGTTCCCCCACCCAGGGCAACGTTTCGTGGCCCTATAGGGAGCTCCACCGAAGGCCCCAGCTGCTCTCGCATGCGGTTCCCCCACCCAGGGCAGCGTTTCGTGGCCCCATAGGGAGCTCCACCGAAGGCCCGCCCCAGTGGCGCAGTTCGCATGCGGTTCCCCCACCCACGGCAGCGTTTCGTGGCCCCATAGGGAGCCCCACCGAAAGCGGCACCCACAACGCGTTACGAACAATTGCTTATGGTTGGGTCCTTCGCCAGGATAATTGATCTGTGGGCCTTGGGCTTGCTGTTCATGTTATCATGCTGTGGTTCCGCCTGCCAATGAGACCTACAATGCCATCCGTAGCCAGTTTGGCTCAAGCCACTTTGGTTCAAGGCAACTGCTGTTGGCCGAAGGCTTTCCGACCTGCGCCGCGGCCCCCCGCAGCAGTCCGCAGCCGCTTCTGCTCCAGGCAGCGATCCTCGCGGCGCCATGCTCGCCCTCGCCGGCACCGCCCTGCTCGGCGCGGCCCCGATCAGCGCTGCAGCGTACCCCGTCACCTACACGAACTGCGGCGTGACGAACACCGTCAGCGCGGCTCCGACCAGGGTCATCACGATGAACCAGGGTGCGACTGAGTTCTTGCTCGCCATGGGCCTCGAGGGCAGCATGGTGGGCACCGCCTACCTGGACGATTCCATCTGGCCCAAGTACGCGGCCGCGTACTCCGGCATCCCGGTCCTGAGCTCGTCCTACCCTGACGAGGCCGACATTGTCGCCCTGAACCCCGACTTGATCGTTGCGTCGTATAGCTCGGCCTTCAGGGCGCTGTACACAACCTCCTCGGGATCGACCCGGGGCGTTTTCAACATGTCGTGCACGGGGGACGGTTCCGAGTACGGCGCGGATTGGACCACCTGCCGCCCGCAGCTGAACGCGATGGGTCACGGGACGTATTTGTTAGAGGACGCTTGCGAGGACAGCTCGCTGCGCCCAGACACCGTCTCGGAGGAGACCGTCTACGAGGAGCTCGAGACCCTCGGGGAGATCTTCGGGGTGGACGTGCAGCCGATTATCGACGAGATGAAGGAGGACTTCGACAATGCGGCGGCCCTCGTCTCGTCCAGCATGGCCAGCGCCCCGCTGAAGACCGTCTGGCTCGACTGCGTCGGGCGCTGCTGCGCCGTGGCGGACGGCGAAGAGGAGGAGGTCTACGTGGGGGCGGGCTCGGGGGCCCCCAACATGCTGATGCAGGAAGCGGGCCTGACCAACGTGTTCTCGGACGAGCCCGGCAACTGGGCATGCGTCAAGGTCAGCTCCATCGTCGCCGCGGATCCAGACGTCATTGTGGTTGTCGACGCGGCCTGGGACTCGGCGGCCGAGAAGATCCAGTGGCTCTACAACGACGCGGAGTTCTGCCAGCTGGACGTGCTGAAAGCCGCCCGCTTCGTGTCGATCCCGTTCAGCGCGACCACGCTCAGCCCGCGCAACGGGCCAGCGGCGTACGATCTCGCGATCGCCGCGATCCACGTCCGCACTGGCATCACGACGCCCGCGCAGGAGTCGGGGGTCGGCTCGTTCAACCCGTACTACCTCCAGAAGGAGTCCGAGTGCGGGAAGTGCCCGCTGAGCATGACCGACGTGGTGTACACCGACTCGGGAGACGACGACACGGTGTCGGTGGACTGCCCCACCACCACGGCGCCCAGCGGCGAGGACGTTGCGTCCAAGGGCGCCCGTGCCCGCATCGCAGATCTCCGCGCGTCGGTGGCAGTGGCCGCCTTGGTGCTGTCGCAGTTCTCGTGCGCCTGATCGCGGCGCGCGTCGGGCCGGGATGCGCAGGCGGCGGGGGGTCAGTCGCCAGCACGGAGGTATGCTCTCGCTGCGGTCACGCACGCCGTCTTCGCGGCAGTGATCTCGCTCTGCCGTGCATGTTCGTTTTGTGTTTCAGCGGGAGGGTGAGCTGCGCACTCGCAATTCCGTGGGCGGACATCTGCCCGAGGGGAAGTGTAATTATGTTGACCCAATGTCTGGTCTTGCCTGCAGTCTGCTAGGCATGCTGTAGATGTTTTTAGAGTGGGTAGTTTTGCGTTGGGCCTTCGGGGGCGCGGGAGTGAGGGGAGCCCGGGAGGGTGAGGAGCGAGGGAGGAAGTGCGTCAATATCACAGAGCTCAATTTTAATTGAGGGGTGTTGCTCGATTCAAGCGACGCGTCTGTTGTACAGCGTTTCTTGCATAGGTAGTTTTGGAGAGTTTGGTCAGGGACTTCGTCCTGTGCGCGGGAAGTTCCTCTCCGTCGAGGTGGGGGCTTGGTCTTTGACCCCAGCCCTTGAGAGTACTTGCGCCCGCGCTGGGGGAGCCGGACATGCCGACTGCCCCTCCGACAGCTCAGGTCTGCAATCAGTCCGACCGTGATGCACCAGGCAGCGCAAAAAACATGAGATCTGCAACGCCAACACCACGAATGTCTGACATTGACGCTTAACCCGCAACTCCTGCACTCCCATGAGTATGACGCTCGCGCTGGTGGGAGGGAAGAGGATGACTTGGCTTGGGCCTTCTCCTTACCCTTGCTGTGTCCTCCCGCACCTTTCGCAGGCTTTCCCTTCCTCCTCGACCTCCTATCGCGGCTAGGATGGTCAGACAGAGTCTCTGTACCCATTCCTGCGGGCAGCAGGGTCTGTGTGGGAGAACGATCTGGCGTTGCGTCACCTCGAGCCCTGACCTCACTCCTTGGAGGGGAAATGGCTTGGAGCGACGGGGGCCACGGTGCTTCTTGACGAGTTGCGCATCCCCACCAGCCCATCCAGGCGTGATTCTCAGGCGAGTTGTCGTGAGAAGTATCGTGGGAAGCATGCGTGGAACAGTCCGATCAGTCTCCAGTAATAGACAATTGGGAACCTCTGGAGCCTTTTGAAGGCCTCTTCGAGCCACCTTGGGATTCTTTTGTGGCAATTTTCGCAGCCGTCGGGGCTTTCTTGTGCTCTTTGGGGGCCCTTTACGGAACCTTTCAGGCCCTCGTGGAGCCATCGTTGAGGTCAACAACAGAGGACAGGGTCCTCGGTAGTCGAATCAGCCCCCCACTCAAGGCCAGAACGCCCCTCTTGGCGGCGAGTACAATTGGGGCCGTTGGGGTTCTCTTAGGGCTTTTTTGGGCCATGTTGTGGCCACCTTGGGGCCTCACAGCGATACAGAAGCAAGCAGGCGAGACGGCGATCATCGTGAACGTGATGGGGTGCTTCATGATGTTGGCCTCCTTGAAGTCTCCGTGGGAGGCTGCCTGGGTACCTCGAGACATGTGCTGCATGTCGTCCCAGGCCAACCCTGGGCGAACCTTGGGGCCATTTTTTGCGCGATGGCTGAGACCATCTAAGCTTAAGTTGGGCACGTCCCTCTACAGGAGGGATATTCAAAAAATAGCAAAACTATAGCTGGGACGATTTTTTAGAGTATTTGTTTGCTATTTCCCAACCCTCCTGCGTTGGGTTCTCGTTTTGAATAGAGCGCTGCTCGCGCGTCTCCTTCCCACCCCCTCCCGTCCCTCTCTTCCCCCCTGCCTTTGACCTCGCCATCCCTGGGGGGCTGCGATCTGTGAAACTGTCGCCACTTTCGAGGCCTGCTGGGGGAGGGCACCCCTCCCCGAAGGGAGGAGGGCTCTTGTCAGATGTGAGAGCGAGAGCCCGTCAGTCCACCCGCGCCCAAAGGGCTGGTGTGATTGATGGGTATCCCACAGAGGACGTACGCGCCCAACCACGGACATGACTACGGCCCCCCAGTCCGCAAGACCAGCCTCGTGCTGCGAGCCCGCGCGAAAGGTGTACTCTCGAGAACATCGTGGCTTCATCTCCGTGTGTAAGTCCTTCTGCCGCTCCTGGGGCGCAGCATTAGACGTGCAGCCGCAGTGAAAGTTACCTGGTCATCCCGAAAGCCACTCTGACCCGCATGCTGAACATGACCATCGCACTTCGCCAAACTATATATATATAGATGTGTGTGTACATATGTATATATATATATATATATATATATATATATATATATATATATCCCAAACTCGCATACACATGTAGCACCGCGCCAAAGAATTGCAAACTTCCTCTTGGGACGCCAGGACCTCGGGCCCCCCTCTGTGCCGCGCCCCGCGGCGGCGCCGCCATGCCGGCCCCGCCCAACCGGCGGCCGCCCACCGCGCAGACCCCGCCGGGCGGCCGCCGCGCCGCGGCCGCCGCCGCGGCGGCTCGCTGCTACCGCCGCCCCTCGGCGCGCCTCGCGGGGCTGTTGGCTCGCCCCCGCGGGGAGCCTCGGCGCCACTCGGCCCGGCGGCTCGGAGGCGGTGCCCTGGGGGCTTAGGGGATCGGGAGGATGACGATGCTGATGCTGATGCTGATGCTGAGGCTGAGGCTGAGGATGAGGATGATGAGGATGATGAGGATGAGGATGAGGATGTTCAGGACAATATTTTTGATGATATGATGATCTGATGACGATGGGGATGGGGATAGGGATTATGATTAGGAGGATGAGGATGAGGATGATGATTATGATGATGAGGATGAGGATGACCAGGACGATGATGATGAGGATGGCGATGACGATGACAATGACGATGATGATGACGATGATGATGATTAGGATGAGGATGATGATGCTGATTTTGATGATGAGGACGAGGATGGGGATGACAATTCTGATGATGAGGATGCGGATGATCATGACGACACCGATGCTAATATGATTATGACGATGACGATGATGATGATGATGATGATGATGATGATGAGGATGATAATGATGATGAGGATGAGGATGAGGATGATCCGGATGATAATGATGATGATGACGATGATGATGACGACGATGACGATGATGATCATGATGATCGTGATGATGATGATGATGATGATGACGATGTTGATGTTGATGATGATGATGATGATGAGGATGCGGATGACGATGAGGAGAAGAAGGAGTAGATGGAGGATAAGTTGGGGATGGTTATGTGGTGGTGGTGATGATGATGATGATGATGATGATGATGGTGGTGATTGTCATTGTGATGGTGGTGGTGGTGGTTGTGCTCATACTGATGATGATGATGATGATGATGATGATGGTGGTGTTGATGCTGATAGTGGTGGTGATGACGACGATAACGATGACGATGGCGATGACGATGATGACGACGACGATGATGGTGATGATGATGATGAGCATGATGATGATGATGATGATGATGATGATGATGATGCTGATTGCGATGATGATGGTGATAATGGTGATGATGATGATGATGATGATGATGATGATGATGATGATGATGATGATGATGGTGTTGGTGGTGGCGGTCATGATGCTGGTGATGAGGATGATGCTGCTGATGATGACGATGTTTTTGTTGTTGTTAAGGATGATGACGGTTAGGACGAGGGGGATTATGACGATGATGGTATGGTGTTGATGAAGGTGGTGGTGATGATGATAATGATGATGGTGATGATGATGGTTGTGGTAATCATCATCATGATTGTCAGGGTGATGCTTGTGATGGTGGTGATGATGGTGGTGATGATGATTCTGATGGTGATATTGATGATGTTGACGATTGTGGTGGTGGTGATGATGATGAAACTAATAATGATGATGAGGAGGAGGACGAGGATGATGATTAGAGGAGAAGGATGGTGATCAGTAGATCAGAGGACCAGAGGATCAGAGGATCAGAGGAACAGTAGGATAAGGAGCAGGCTGATGACGTTGATGATATGTAGTGTTGATGGTGGTTGTGGTGATGGTGGTGTTGATGATGATGATGATGAGACTGACGATGACGCTGATGACGCTGATGGTGATGATGATACTGAGGGTGTTGGTGACGATGATGATGCTGTTGGTGGTGATGATGATGATGATGATCTGATGGTGATTGTGGTGATGCTGATGATGATGATGATGCTGGCTATGACGGTGGTAGGGATGCTGATTCTGCTGATGATGGTGATGGGGATGATGCTTGATCATGTTAATGACGCTATTGATGATGCTGATGACGATGATGATGATGATTCTGATGGTGGTTCTGCTGGTGGGGGTGATGATGCTGGTGGCGGTGATGATGATGGTGATAGTGGCGGAAAAGATGATGGTGTTTATGATGATGGTGATGATGACGCTGCTAATGATGATGGTGATGATGCGGGTAGGGTGGCGGTGATGATGACCATTCTGAAGGTGATGATGCTGACGCTGGTCATGATTCTGATGATGGTGCTGGTGGTGGTGGTGATGATGCTGATGATGGTGTTGATACTGATTGATGATGGTGGTGGTGATGAAGATTATGATGGTTATGTTGCTGCTGCTGCTGATGATGATGGTGGTGGTGGTGATACTGATGATGTTGATGATGCGGTTGGACAGTAGGATGATGATGAGGATGATGATAATGACTTTGATGATGATGCTGCTGATGATGATGTTGATGATGATGATAATGGTGATGCTGCTGCTGATGATCATCATGATGATGATGGGAATGATGAGCATGCTGCTGCTGCGGCTGCCTCTGCTGTTGATGCTTACGACAATGATGAGGAAGGTGTGGATGAGGACGAGGAATCATGATGATGATGATGCTGATGGTGAGTGATAATGGTGATGCTTGTGATGATGATGATGATGAGTGTGATGAGTGTGATGACGATGATGATTCGGATGATGCTGAAGATCATGCTGACCATGATAATGATGGTGGTGCTGATGATGATGCTGGTAATGATGATGAGGATGATGAGGATGATGACGATGATGATAAGG